TGTGTGTGTGTGTGTGTGTGTGTGTGTGTGTGTGTGTGTGTGTGTGTGTAACCAAGGATGCTGCAAACAGCCCGAGCCCAGCGCTTGCTGGTTTTCAAAGCCTCACTGCCCCTTGAGGGTTTGGTGCTTGCTGTAGGTGTGGTATGTGATGCTGCTGAGGCTGTGATACGGCAGGCTGTGTGAATGTGGATGAGGCTTGCATCAATGCCGTCACCTCTTGAGCTCTCGTCTCTGTGTTTTATTTAAAATCCGCATTTCATCTCATCGCACCCCGTCTATCTCTGTGCAGGTGACGTCGTCGAGCCAGTGAGACCGATTGAGCGTGACTCCCTCCCCAGCTCCCCTTGTCACTGTGACTTTGCTGGATGTAATGTCAGTCAGTCACTGGGGAAAATGACAGGGAGTAAAAGGGCGTTGTTGCTGCATACACTGTCTCTGCTGCTGGTGCTGTTTCTGAATTCGTGCAAACAAGGCAAAGCCATCAAGATTCCACCAGAATGTGAGTGCCGTCGCTGTCGGGGCTCCACTGTCTGATGTGTGGTGTCTGTGAGGGTGGTGGGTGATGTCGGAGAGAAATGGGGTGGGGGTTTGGTGGTTGGAGAAGATGAGCAGTGAAGGAGGTTGCGAGTGATAACTGTCAGCTCCAGCAGTGCCCCATCATTTAATGCTGACCCTCCGACAGGGTCCGCTCCCTCGGTGCTGACCCTCCGACAGGGCCCGCTCCCTCAGCACTGACCCTCCGACAGCGCCCGCTCCCTCGGCACTGACCCTCCGACAGCGCCCGCTCCCTCGGCGCTGACCCTCCGACAGCACCCGCTCCCTCGGCGCTGACCCTCCGACAGCGCCCGCTCCCTCGGCCCTGACCCTCTGACAGCACCCACTCCCTCGGCACTGACCCTCGACAGGGTCTGTCACCTGCTGCCTCTGGTCCATCCAGTCAGCGGAGGTGGCGGGTTTGCTGTTTGCGGATCCTCGGCGAGTCGCTGCAGTGCGTCCCGTAGATGGTAGACACTGCTGCCTGTGTACATCGGTGGTGGAGGGAGCATAATTTGGAGGAGGTGGGTTAACATGTCGAGTGGGTTTTGGTGTGGGTGGGGGCACGCGGGTTGATGGTTTGCCCTGGACGGTGTGGAGCTTCTCGAATGTTGTCAGAGCCGCACCCAGGCGAGTGGGCGGGAGTGTTCCCCCACCCTCCTGCCTTGTACCTTGTTGATGGTGGGACAGGCTTTGAGGGGGTAGGGGGGAGTCAGGAGGGGAGTTACTCGTTGCAGGATTCCCGTCCTCTGACCTCGATTGGTTGCAGCTTCTCCTTCAAACATTGCTTCAGTGAAGATAAAACTCGTGATAGGAGGCGTGTTTGGTGAGGCTCGTGTCTCCTTCAGGCCCTTGGTCAGAGGCTGCAAACCGCTCCCCCCCGCCTCACCCCCCAGAACGCGAGATGTGACTTGTTCCACGACCGTGCCATGGAGGGGTAACTCGGTCACTCACGTTGCGAGTGGGCATGTGGGAAATGGCGGTGTGCGCAACTGACGATGATATAACCTTGTGTTTTGCTCCCTTTCCTCACCCCACTACCTCCCTTTGCTCGCCTTCTCTGGAGGTGCAGATAAACTGCTGGAAGATCGTAAGTAGGCCTCCCCCCCTCCCCCCAACCTCTCTCTGTCTCTCCCTCTCTCTCCCTGTTCCTCTCTCAATGTCTCTGTCTCTCTCTCTCTGTCTGCCCCTCTGTCTCTCTGTGTCTGCCCCCCTCTCTCTGTCTTTCTCTCAATGTCTCTCTCTGTCTCCCTCCCTATCTCTCTCTCTCTCTATGTCTCTCTCTATTACTCTCTCTCTCTCTATGTCTCTCTCTCTGTGTCTCTCTCTGTCTCTGTCTGTGTCTCGCTCTCTCTCTGTGTCTCTGTCTCTCTCTGTGTCTCTCTATGTCTTTCTCTCTGTGTCTCTGTCTCTATCTCTCTCTGTGTCTCTGTCGCTATCTCTCTCTCTCTATGTCTCTCTCTGTGTCTCTCTCTCTGTGTCTCTCTCTCTCTCTCTCTCTCTCTCTCTCTGTGTCTGTCTCTCTGTGTCTCTGTCTCTCTCTCTCTCTCTATGTCTCTCTCTCTCTCTCCCTATCTCTCTCTCTCTCTCTCTCTGTCTCTCTCTCTCTCTCTGCTCCGGTGGTCACCACCCACCTCTGTCTGTCGCTAAGAGATGAAAGTGTTGCATGGCTGTCTCCCTTCTTTCCCCCTCTCCTCAATGTGGTATAGTGAAGGCTCCTCCTACGGTTGGCAGATTGAGCAAGGCTGTGCCTAAACGTAGGGCATTTGTCCCCACGAGACCCACTCGCGAGATCGGTTTGTGTTACGGATTCCATCTACCAGCCCTGCAGCCCCTCTCGCCCCAAGTCTCCACACCTCGATTCCTAATGAGGCCTGACCTCTGGGGCAGGGGGTTCCGGAGCGGCACAATCCTCTGAGAGGAAGCGTTCCCTCTTATCTCTGTCCTCAAAAGTCTCCTGGCTCCGTGGAGTCTGGCCTCCTTGGCCAGTGTGTGGGGCCTCAGGCCTGGACTCCCTGCACCGTGATGCCTCGGGCCTGGTCTCCCTGCACTGTGAGGCCTTGGGCCTGGTCTCCCTGCACCGTGGGGGCCTGGGGCCTGGTCTCCCTGCACCGTGAGGCCTCGGGCCTGGTCTCCCTGCACTGTGGAGTCTGGCCTCCCTCCCCACTGGTACCTCCGTTCTTCCTCTGCCCTTCCTGCAGGTGTGGGCTGTTTCTGGGTCTGCGTTAGGATCGGTTCTTCAGAACAGGATGTTGAGGAACTGACTAAAGATAGGACCATTTTCATTCAGTCAAGTACTATGAAAACAACAAAGGGCCTATTAATAACTTGGTAAAATAACCTTTCAGGATGGGTGACCACAAGAGGTAATATCCAAAAGTAAGGTAATTCAATCTGAAGCCAGAGTGTTAAACAAAACATAAGCTAAGATGGACTGGGATAAAACATTCAAAGGCAATGATGGCACAGCAACAACGTGCAGTCTTTTAAAGAATTATTACATAGCTAAGCGCAGCTATCCATCCCTTCACAACAAAATGCTCCTCAGAAATGTCAGTCACCTATGGTTAACAAAGGCTTAAGCATTGCACAAGATTGACAAAAAAGGTCCAGTGAAGTTGCCAGGAGTGGTAATAAACCTCAGGACGATTGTGGAATACAGCAACAGAGGACCAAGCGACTGGTAAAGAAAGGGAGAATACAGTGTGAATCCAAATGAGGAGGAAAGAAAACATAAAAACAGACTGTAAAAGCTTCTGTAGGTGCGGGCAGAGGGAACGTTGGCGAAGACAAAGGCGATTTCATTACAGTATTTATAACTGGGTACAGTGAAACAATGTCTTTGTGTCTGTCTTCACTGCGGAGAATACAAGGAATCTCCCGGACTGGGAGATCCGAGCGACCCCAGGCTGGGGGGATGGAGAAAGAGAAATTCAAGGAAATTAGTACAAGGGAGAAAGTTGGAGGAAATAATGAGACTGAAAGTTGATGGATACCTGGTATTCTAACACGTATACCAGAGTGCCGAAAGAGGTAACTGTGGATGTGGAAATAGCAGAAGCATGGATATTAGTGTTTCAACATTTTGGGGAGTGGTTCCCACAGACTGGAAGGTATCAAAACTCATCCGGGTATTTGAGAAGAAAGGGAGGGAGAGGAAAACGGGAACAGACGGAATTGTTAGCCTCCTGTTAGTCACAGGGAAAATACTGACGTGTATTGTGAAGGACGTGGCAGGGGAATTGAGTTTAAGAGCCGCGAGGTTATGCTGCAGCTCTATAAAACCCTGGTTAGACCACACTTGGAATACTGTGTTCAGTTCTGGTCGCCTCATTATAGGATGTGGAAGCTTTAGAGAGACGGTGCAGAGGAGATTTACCAGGATGCTGAGATAACAAGGTGTAGAGCTGGATCAACACAGCAGGCCAAGCAACATCAGAGGAACAGGAAGGCTGACTTTTCGGGCCTAGACCCTTCTTCAGAAAACTCTTTACCAGGATGCTGCCTGGACTGGAGGGCAGGTCTTATGAGGAAAGGTTGAGGGAGCTAGGGCTTTTTTCATTGGAGCGAAGAAGGATGAGAGGTGACTTGATAGAGGTGTACAAGATGATGAGAGGCATAGCTCGAGTGGAGAGCCAGAGACTTTTTCCCAGGGGCGGAAATGACTATTACGAGGGGGCATAATTTTAAGGTAATTGGAGGAAGGTATAGGGGAGATGTCAGAGGTAGGTTCTTCACACAGAGAGTGGCGGGGCGTGTGGAATACCCTGCCGGCAGTGGTAGTGGGGTCAGAGACTTTTAAGCGACTCTTGGATAGGCACGTGGAGGATAGTAAAATGTAGGGTATGCAGGGTAGATTGATCTTAGTAGGATAATAGGTCAGCACAACATCGTAGGCCGAAGGGCCTGTACTGTGCTGTACTGTTGTATGTTCTGATGACTAGACTTGAGAGAAATGATTTAGCTGGGCACAGTCAGTGTGAACCACGACTTCGACTGGGACAACACCAAGATCCTGGGAGAGGCTAGGCAGAGACAAGCACGAGAATTCCTGGAAGCATGGCACTCCACGAAGCAGGCTATTAATAAACACATTGAACTCGACCCCATATACGTTCCACTACGGAGGGAAACCCGGAAGTGAGGCAATCCATTGCAACGGACCCCAGAGTTTAAAAACCAGGCGGGAAAACACAACGACGCTTCATCAGAGGCTGCACTGAGGATGTTACTCAGCACGGTAACGAAACGTCTGCGGAACAACAAAACAGCTCGGCGAGCCAACCAACCACAACAGTGTGGAGATGTATAGGAACGCCTGGAGTACAGTGTGCAGTTCTTAGTCAGTTACTGTCAGAAGGATAATATTTCCCTGGTGTAATTGTAATGTAAGATTGTTCCTGGGATGCCATTACTGTCCAACAAGGGGAGATTGAGCAAGGACTTACACAATTAAAAGTAGGATAGTGTTGTAGAACAGAGAGACCTGGGGAGTTCAGGTACATAATTCTTTGAAATTGGTGTCACGGGTAGACAGGGAGGTTAAGAAGGCGTTTGGCATGCTTGCCCTCGTTGCTCAGACATAGACTTAGATATACAGTCCAGAAACAGACCCTACGGCCCACTTCCTCCATGCCAACTATGTTCCCTAAACTGAAGTAGTTTTGCCCAGTTCTGAGGAAGGGTCACCGGAGCCAAAACGTTGACTCCGCTTTCTCTCCACAGATGCTGCCAGACCTGCTGAACTTTTCCAGCAGCTTCAGTTTTTGTTAGTTTGGCCCCTTTGAGTGTAGGAGTTGGGGACGTCACGTTGAGGTTGTACAGGGACGTTGGTGAGGCCTCTTCTGGAGCACTGTGTCCAGTTCTGGTCGCCCTGTTATAGGAAGGATGTTATTAAACTGGAGAGGGTTCGGGAGAGATTTACCAGGATGTTGCCGGGAATGGAGGGTTTGAGTGATAAGGAGAGGCTGGGACTTTTTCCCACTGGAGCGTAGGAGGTTGAGGTCTATAGAATCGCGAGGGGAGTCAATAATGTGAATGGTAGGAATCTTTTCCAAAGGGTGGAGGATTTCAAAACTAGGGGCCATATTTTTAAGGTGAGAGGAGAGAGATTTCAAAAAAACACAAGGGGCAGTTTTTTTTTTACACAGAGAGTGCTCCATGTGTGGAATGAACTTCCAGAGGAAGTGGTGGGTGCGGGTACAGTTACAACGTTTAAAAGACATTTGGATAAGTACATGGATAGGAAAGGTTTTGGAGGGATGTGGGTCAGGAGCAGGGACTGGTTTAGTTTGGGATTATGGGTCGGCACGGACCGGCTGGGCCGAAGGGTCTGTTTCCGTGCTGTGTGCTTCAGAGTTGCAAACAACAGAAGAAAATCTCATTGAAACTTAGGAAATACCGAAAGAGACAGACAGATGGGGTAGATGCAGCTCAGATGTTTCCCCTCACCCCTTGCTTGGTGGGGTGGGGGGGTGGTCTAGAACCAAGGAGAACAACTGTTTTATATTTTTTAAAAAAAGGGGGAATGCCGTTTCAGATGGACATGACGAGTCGTCTTAATTCAGGAAAGTGAACCTTTGAAATTCTCAACCCCCAGGGGTGGGTTGCTGTAAAAGCTCAGCCTTGGAGTATGTGTATAGTAGATTTCCAAATTGCAGTGACGTAAGTGGGGCAACTGGGGGGGGGGGGGTACAATGCAGGTAAATTAGACACCGGTTTGGGCAAGCATTTGAAGGCTTGACAGGCTGAATGGCCTAGATGCACCTTTCTCTTTTCCACCCAGTTATGTTGAGGTCCCCGTGCCCTTCGGGGCCGAGGCCGGAGACTAGGTTCTCAACGAGGTGGGGGGGATGTTGGGGGAGGCGGGGTGGTGTCCCGCATTTCCGCTGTCGCACGCCCCCACCTCCCCTCCTCCTCTCGGATACCGGTCACCCCCAGGGGACGGACTGAGTCGTTCACTCTCTTTCCACTGCAGTGAAACAGCCACCAGTAATTACAGAGCAGAGCCCGGAGAACTACACCGTGTTCCCCACGGACGACATTGTACTGAGATGTGAAGCAAAGGGAGTGCCCGCACCCGAGTAAGTACTGTCAGGGCTAGGGGGCCTGTTGTATGTACTACATGTAGCCTAGGACAGGGTCTACATCGTCTGTACCCTGGGGCAGTGTCTGGGACTGGTGTACATCGTGTGTACGCTGGGGCAGGGTCTGGGACTGGTATACATCGTGAGTACGCTGGGGCAGGGTCTAGGACTGGTATATGTCGTGTGTACACTGGGGCAGGGTCTGGGACTGGTGTATGTCGTGTGTACCCTGGGACAGGGTCTGGTATATGTCATGTGTACACAGGGGCAGGGTCTGGGACTGGTATACGTCGTGTGTACACTGGGGCAGG